ATTTTCAAAATTCAGGCCAAAATGAAGCCGCTCACATAAACTCACTCAGGAGATGGGCCGGCAGGTGTAAAGGATCCTATGTAGGTTTCAAAATATCAGTGTTCCTTTTATTTCCCCTGATCCCACCGAGGTGAACCAAAGCCGGCCTTCCAGATGGCAGGGTGTGGGCCAGGCAGCATGGTGTATGATAGATAACACATAAGGGGTTTCGAGTCAGAGAACCTGGTTTGAGTCCCAGCCCCGCCACTTACAACTGTGATCTTGGCTCAAGGCCTGGCCCAGAGTAAACACTCAGCAGACAAGAGCCCCGCCCCCTGCTTCTCCCTCATCTTGTTGCTTTAATCTTGGTTGCGCGCCAGCCTCCCCTCAGCTGCAGTCAGTCGTGCTGGCCCTCGTTCTGTTTGCAGAGCACGGGGAAGCACATTCCTGCTTCAAAGCTGCTGATCATGCACTTGCTGCTGCTCGGGGTGGCCCTCCCACAGATCACCCCATGGCTTGCTGCTCACCACTTCCTGTGCTCAGCTCAGATGTCACCACTCCCGGGCAGCCCTGCGTCTTGGTCATTGTGACACATTGCCCTGATCGTCTTCCCCATGGCTTCTCTCACTGTCCCGAGTTACCTTGATGATGGCTTTGTTTGTTTTCATTTTGTGTCCTGTCCACCCTGAGCTTCGTGGGCGCAGAGGCCTTGACTATTGTGGGTGAACTAGTTCCTGGTACATACTCGTTGCTCCACAAGTATTTGTTGCATGGAAGTTGCCGGAACTCCACTAGAGATGGAAGGGCTTCCCAGGGCTGTTCTGAAGATGAGGCGATACCAGGTTTCTGAGAGTATTTTGGAAACTGTAAACCCTATGCAAATAACACATCATTAAGTCTTTCCTACCTCGTCCGTGAAGCACTCCTTTCCTGTTGCCCCAGACCAAGGCATCCTCTTCATAATTCTTGCAGAGCATCAGTATATTCTCTATGACTATAGACTGTTCTGTGGAGATCTGGCATTTCTGACATGTGACTTAACATGATACATCTCATTAGCAGGAGTTTCAAATGAAACTTGGAGAGATTCAAAGCAAGAGGGAAAATACTCTCACTTGGAAATCGGTGGTCAGCAAGCCATTCACAGGTGCGGCTTCAGGGCTGAGAGCCCACAGAGCGGGCGGCATTACAGCGATGCCCAGTATTCAAGCTACACACCGCTTCCCTGTGCCAAGTCTGGCTTAAAGAAAATGACATCACGTGCCTGGCTTGGGGGGGAGGTGGACATAAATGTGGGGGGTTCGGCTCAGAGGTGATCACAGCTTGTGTCCCTTCAAGACAGCAGAGCTGTGGTCAAGGAGGGCAGGGCCAAAATGAGCCCCTGAGCGCGTCTGGTAAGGGTTGTGCGCGGCGCATCCTGGGTGCCGTGTAAGGGTTGTTTCTTCCATCTACCTGCTTTTGTGGAAACTTTTCCACCTTTACTATTGGTAACCTTTCCAGGCTTCAATCAAGATGCAGTATGTTGGCTTTGAAAGAGCTTGATTTGAATTGTGGAGGGACAGGAAGGGAGTTTCAAGAATCTCAGTCCATTATGCATGTTTGGCAAGATGTGTTTTTTCAGAAGCGTGAAAATCACCCTGAGAGAGACTGAATCAGGCAATGAACGGCGCTGGTCTCAGAGGGTGAACGCCCTTAAAAGGGGATCAAGTTTCAGTGGAAACTGAAATCTCTAGTTGAAGAAAATAAAACCAAATCTTGGATTTGGGAAAAATTACTTTACCTGTGGCTCTCAAAATGGATAGTCTCTCTCTTTAGTAATGATTTTAGTAACCTGAGTCAGAAAATGAGCAACCATTCTGTTCCACTCCCCTGTCCGCTGCCTGGGACAGGGGGGCCTCTTTCTCAAACCTACAGAGAAACCCTCACATAAATGCTCACATTCACTGAAAATAAAAGTATATAGTACAAGGATTTTGATGCTTGGTGCAAGAATGTTTTAATTATATACTTTTTAATTTTTAATTTGAATGACTTAAAGGATGAAAATTGGAACACCAAATTTCTAATATGGACTATGCCTTAAAATCAACAAATTATCTGTAATAAGGATAAATATATTGACTGGATAAACTCTCTTAGACTTGCACTTATCCCTTAAGTCAACTCACAAATAAGAACAGGGCACTTTTCTTTTCTGGAGACCTCAGGGGTTCTTGTAGGAAGCTTTAAAGAGGAGAGATGAATTAATTAGCACAAGAGAAATACAGCTCACTCAGAGGATTAAAATGCAACTCTTTTTTCTTTTTTTTTAAATTTAAATTTTTGTATTAAAGTATAGTCAGTTACAATATATCAATTTCTGGTGTACAGCAAAATGTTTCAGCCATGCATACACACACATATATTCGATTTCATACTCTTTTGCATTATAGGTCACTACAAGATATTGATTATATTTCCCTGTGCTCTACAGTATAAACTTGTTGTTTATCTATTTTATATATGCTAGTTAGTATCTGCAAATCTCAAACTTCCAACTTATCCCTTCTCACCCCCTTTCCCCCAAATAATCGTTAAGATTGTTTACTATGCCTGATGTTTTGTAGGTGTTCATTAGTGTCTTTAAAAATTTTTTTTCAATTGAAGTTGCTTACGTGTTCAAGAAAAGAGTTTGAAAGAGAAGGCAGATCCTATGAAGGGGCCCCAGGGTTTCACTTTGCAGCGTCTGACTCCAGGCCAGGATGTCCCAGGGAGGTGGGGGGGCACCACCACACAGAATGCTCCTGAACATTATACAAGTGACTCTTTTTACTTGTTTTCTTGTTTTGGAGGATGGAGAGCTTGTGTTGGCTCTTGTGGAGAAACTAACATTTGAGCTCTAACGTTCAAAGAGAATTCCGCGTTCCTCTGACTTCTCTATGCTGCTGCTTCCGGACTCTTCAGTTCAGAGTATTTCATCTTCGATTCAGAAGACTACGACATTCCACTGAAGACAGCTTTCCTAGAGGCCAGCTGTGTGACTGTTTTCCCCATGCTCTTATCTTTATATTCTCCAAGTGAAAATAAAGTCAGACTCTAGAGTTTTAACTTTGTGGTGTTTGACCCCTTGTCTCACGTCGTACATTTCCATTGTATCTGAAGGAGAATTTCTGCAGCTCAGGTCTTTATCATTTTTTTGCCTTTATGCACCCAGATTTGTTCCTTCTTTACAAACCCCTTCTTCTACGTCAGTTCTTACTTTATATTGCCACCAGATTCATGTTTTGAAAATACCACTTTGAGTGGGTTAGCTCTTCCCTTAGAGCAGTTGGCGACCCTCAGCTATTTATAAAGTCAAATTCCTTCACCAGGCGTTCAAGGCCGCCCAAGGCCCGTTCTACTCCTGATCTGTGTCGTGGTGCATCTCAGTGTCATGTTGTGCCATCGTCCGAGCTGTTGGTTGACCCTTCAGCACACTGTACACTTTCTCTGTCCTCTTCCTCTTTTCTTACCCAGTGTTACTGCATCCTTTTGAAAGCTGGGTCAAATACTCAAGCAGAAGTTTTCCTTGACCACTCCTGATTAAAGTACTCTCTCCTTTTTAAAGTAAACTTCTATCTCTTGAATTAATTTGCTCTGTTTTTCGTCTTTTATAAGCTGTATCCAAGACTATATGTCTTAAGGTCCCAGACCACGTCTGATAACTCTGTGTACCCCCTGGTCACTGCCTAGCTTGCCCGCTTCCACATCTCAGGTATTAGTAATGTCTGTTAATTGCTCTCAAAAGTGGGATGATGTTCTTTCTAATAAACAAAAAGGCTGAGTGGCTTCCGTTTCTAAGGAGTCAAATGAGCTTTTCTGTTGAGCTTCAGCAATGGTGTCTGATCACTTTACTTTCAGGATATGAGCTGTTGTATTCCGGGTTCTGAAAGGTCCATGAATGACAGTGTGAAACATATTTGAAAGAAGGGATCATGCTAGATCTGGAAATGAGGGGAGAGGGGTCACCCACCTCAGCCTGTCAGTGGCATTTCTTGGGGGGCGGTGGGGCAGGCGAAAGCAGACACACCAAGAATTTTAAACTA